GGGTGGGGGGAGGGGGGGGCGCTTCGGAAAATTGCAATAAACAAATAAATGATTGATTTAGATGAATCGAATGGTTGGGTGGGGTGAGTTTAGTGCAGAGTGGGTCAGAGTACCTCTCTAAGGGCTTGGAACAAAGACCGGTTCTCGTATGAAGGTCACTAGTTCAATGGCGCCTATATACGCGCAGAAACTCCTTGCCGAAGGCCGTTTCACTTTCGTCGAAGGCTACCAAAAACCGTTTCGAACGTTTCTCTCTCGTCTTCTATAAACCAGCAACGAATCCACTTGCACTTTCTATCATCTTTCAGGTTTAAAACCTACTTTCATGTGAAAGTATCATGTACCCTATCCCCCCCCCGTCCCCCCGGGTATACTTTCTGCGAGAAATCACGCAACACATAGAAAATCCTAATAGAGAAAAAAAAAAATATATATAATCACGTACTTTTACTTTTATTTACTAGAAGAAAGTTAATCCTACTACGATATGGTATGTGTGTATATTTATTATTTTATTTTTAACAAAAATAAATGATAATGATTAATTATTAACGAATTGTGTACTGTGCTTTTTCTATTAATAGCCAACAATTAACAATTTAACAATTTCATTTGGAAATTGTTTTGCACAAGATTCAATTTATTTTATTTCTAATTATTTTCCCTTTTTTTTTATCTTTTCGGTCACATTTGAAAATTTAATAATATAACGTGAAATGTAATATTTCTTAAAATTGATTAAATTAAAATTTATATAAACCTGTAGGAAAAAAAATCATAAATCATATAAAAATGATCCATTAATACAATTTGCCAAAAATAATAATAATAATAATAATAATAATATCGTTTTTTTGTTCTATAAGACCACATAAAAACGTAACACTGATGCAATACGTAAACTGTGAATAATAATAAAGAAAAATAATAATGATATTACAAAAAGAGAAATAGAAAATAAGAAAGATTTTTTTCGAGGAAGGTAAGGTTCGAGAATAAGAAGAAAAATATCGAAAAGGAAAATGAAAATCAGGTGGAGTAAGATGTTATTCCAACGAGATGGAATTAAAATCTGAGAATGAGAGTTTCGCTTTCTTAAGGCTAACTCTCACGCGAACTGACGTTGCTATCTTTCACGGCGAGTTTTCAGGACCCCCCCCCCCAGTTGGTCGTCACGATCCGGTTTCTCTCGAAAACTCTCATTTGCGTTCTCGTTTTCATCGAACGATCGCCATAAGCAGCAGCAGCAGCACGTTCACTTGAAGATCGAAAGTGGAGAACGCTTAGGGTGACCTCACTTAAAGTTAGGTCATTGAACTTTCACTCGTCGAAAGTATACGCTAATAAATACCATTATCTTTTATCTCATTATTATTATTATTATTGTTATTTGCATTTTAATCATTACATTTCGTTACGCTTTTCTAATCACTTTTTATTTAATTAATTAAACAAATTTTTTTGTATTATTATTATACGGGGGAAAAAATTTATCAACGAGGATCGTTGGATTATTAAATTGTATTCATTTGTTGTTTCATTTTATATTCGTATTAATCGTAGAAATAAGTTTTTTGCTTGTTTGGGAACAAAATCAAATCGAATGAATATTTTTAAATATTAAATGGAATGTATAGTTAAGTAATGGGTTTGTCGTTCTTTATTTTTTTTCGTTCCATTGCATAATATAAAAATTATCCTACATTGGGTTTAATTAATTTCGAATGATTTCTAAAATAAAGGGTACCTCTGTAATCATTTCTTTTCAGATTTCTGCACGACACTCGATCCAGGATTGATCACTCGGATTTATCATTAACCGAAAACAATGCGAATTTCTTTTTATCTTTCGTTAAATTTTTGTTATACTACGTCGAAATTTTTACAAGGTCTATAAATCCAAGACCAAGTGTTCTTTTTTTATTTTTTTTTTTTTTTTTTTAAAACGATCGTATCATTCAAGATACGACGACAAATTTACAAACGAAATTAATTGTAAATACGAGAGCTTAACCGAACGAAATGTTTTCTCTCATTGTCGAAATAAAGATCTTTATCTTGTTAGATATAAAATATGTCCTTGTTGGTAATAATCGTGAAACGTATCTGATACGATCGTTTAAAAGCCCATAACCATTGCGAGAACATGAACAAGGAAGGCTTTCTCTGACGGCCTTGAGCCGGTACTTCAGCCTCGAAGCGACATGAACTTGAACCAGTCTTGGTTTCTCTCTCTCTCTTTCTTGCATTTCGCAAACTATTTCACTTTCCTTCCAATCTATTTTCACTTTAGTTTCATTTCTGATCAATTCGCATACAATCATTACAATAATCATCTGAATTGTATTAAAAAATGATAACCAATAAAAAATAAGGTTACAAGTTACGAATAAATCATACAAATTGAATGATCATTCAAACAACAATTATTAAACGAACGATAACAAAAAAAAGAAAAAACATAGTATCGATATTTATTCGACAAACTCAACAAAATTTCGGATCGATGCATAAACTGATTTATTACTATCTCAAGTAAATAAATCCTAAAAAAAGAAGTACTCTATATTACTTTCTTAATCCAATTCTAGATGAATAATATAAGTACGTGCGAGAGAGACTCTTGTTAGAGGATGCATAAAAATAGTTATAAGGGCCTCTTGAAATTCTATGTGTAAAGGGTTGCTATACCCGAAAACATCAAGCGTGCAGAGGTATTCTGTAAATAGAGCGAACACGCGAGGACCTCCTTTGAGAGTAAACCGACCTTGTTCCTGTCTCGCTGTTACACAAACATACCTATACATATATCCAGTCATCCAGACACACTTATACATATACATATATATATAAAGACTCTCTCTCTCTCTCTCTCTCTCTCTCTCTCTCTTTTTCTTCCCCTTCTCTTTTTCACTGTAGGTTAACACACAAAACTCTCTTTCCCACTCCTGTCCGGCTCGTTATCGCTCTGGTTCTACCCCTACCCATAACCCAAACAACACACACACACACACACCATCAATGTTCTTTCTCTATTCTAACTCATGCGTGCTATAACACGTCTTGTCCCTAACCTAATCCAACGAGAGACGGGCTGAGCTATACCCCGCTCTGCAGGCGGCACCCAGTCGCGCTACATTCGGACCGGTTTCATATGATTCAGGTCCATCTAGATAGATCTAAACAGCTACGCGTCAGGATCCACGTAATACGGCTAGCCATGATGATATTCCCCTCGAGTTATTCACCAAACAACTCTCTATATTCCACTCAACAATTCCCTAACAATAAAAGATTCTATTTTTCTTTCATTGAAATAACCATTTGTTTTTATCTATTTTTCTCTTTTCTACTCTCTCTCTCTCTCTCTCTCTCTGTTTTTTTGTTTGTTTGTTTGTTGAAGTTATACTTAAGTCTTTTGGCGCGTTTTGGATTTTTGTGAAGTTAGATGCGATCGAATAATCGACACCCACGAAGTTGTTCGATATTTACGATGCGCGGGCAAATCGATTTCTAATTTACCGGCGTGAAGTTATTCGTAAGTAAATAAATTAGATTGTAGATATTTTAATTAAAATAAAGATCAATGGTATTTAATATTTTCATTTTTTATTTTATCATATTATCGTCTTTTCGACAAATATAGAGTATTGTATTAGTACGCGAGATAATTGAAGTTATTTTTGAGGTTTTTGAGGTTATGTTCGTTTTCGTACGCTAAAGAAGTATAACTTACTTACGTGCGTATATAAGTACACACATCAATTTTTTATTTTTCTCTATACATAATATTATTAATTGTTAACACTTGAACTTGTAGTTATTGTGTGTGTGATGGTTGCTAAATTGTTTAAATTGAAAATGAATTATTTGAGTATTTTTATCTTATTATCTTATACGTAATTTGTTAGTTTTTATTTATAAGTAAATTGTGTATTATAGTTTCTCTTTTTTAGATAATTAAATTGTTTTCACATCAGTATGGAAAATATGTTAAAATTGACAATGATGTAGATTATAAACACCTAATTTAAAAAGTTATACAAGTAGCTATACAATACGAGGACAAACATTCACCGAAAATTATGTTTGCGGATGACGTGTCTGACGTCAGTCGACATTTCGACGAGTTTGATAACAATCTACGTTTCTTTATACGGAGATCTTTAAAAAAATAAAAAGGATGTGAGTCGTTTCTCTGTAGTATAGAAGCCATGACGCAGTTCGTAGATTCCACTTACGAATTGGACATTCAAAATCATTGTTTTTTTTTTTTTTTTAGAGTCTTCTTCTTCATTCTTTTCGGTTAACCAAAGATCGAATGTTGAAAGTTTCGATCAGAAAAATATATTTGTGTATTTTAAATTTTACACACGGTTGAACAAACTGTACCGATAAGTTTCGGCGAATAAAATCCTTGACCTCTCTTTTTCTCTCGATCTGACCTAGAATAACCTAGAAGAAATTTTTAATACTAACCAAGTCGACGTATAATACAAAGAAGGAATTTAATACCTGCTACTATTAAGCTCATTAAGTTTCATTCATTTTCTAAAGGCATTCACATAAGGAGGGACCTGATCCCTTAAAGATTAGCCTCGTTTGTCCCTCATCTTCTTCTTCAATAATTCGTGTCTTCAATTGTCAAACTAGTCCTTAGTTTAATCCTCGTGTAGGATAATTATTTTCAATACTTTTTATCCTATGATAAACATGTTACCATTAAACGTATAATATTTGCTAAATCTTTCAAACGAAAATTTGTATGAAGTAGTTTAATGACTATATACGTGTCCTGAAACTAATCCTAATTCAATAAGATTGTCCTGTTTGTTTTTTTTTGTAATCTAATCGAAAGTTATGATATTATTTACGTAAACTATATTGTTACATATATCCTTTCCTGATTTATCAGACTAATCTAAAATTTCGTAGATTTTTATTTTCCGATTAAACATTTGTGTCGAAATATTTAAAAAAGGAAAAAATATTTCAACGAATGAAGTTCGTTCAATGAATTTCGAATAGAACAATCGATTAATACGAGTCTGCTTAAGGGATAATATTACAACTTGAATATCATACTACGAGTATAAAAAGAGACATATATATATATAATATAAATACATAAGCAGGAATTTGATAAGGCATTTGATTTCGAAATAAAGGTCCGGTCAAGTTCCAACCGTTTATAAATTCGATCGAATCCGAAAGTGGGAGGAACGCTGGCTTGTTGATACGTCGTTGCATCGAGATGGATGGATGGTCATGGAGAGTGCGTCGAAGCGGGTTGCGGGGGCTGATCGATAAAAGTGGCGGCGGTTGGGTTCACGAGCCTCATTCAAGGACAAGGCCATGTGATAGCGGCCGCGCAACCGCGTTCGCGCATTCGACCACCCGTGCCTATCGGAGAGCCGTTTCAACTCAGGACTGTATCTATTAACCCACGAACCAACCCTCCAAAAAACACTCCACTTTTTCATTCAAAATAATGTTTTTTTCGGTTTTTTTTTTGAATTTATACCTTCTTTTGACGCGTTTTGGATAGTGAAGTTAAATGTAACCGAAAAATCTACACCACGAAGTTGTCGATGATATTTACGATGCGCGCGCAAATTGAAGTTATTTTTGAGGTTATACTTCTTACGCGTGCAGTTTTTTTTGTTTTGGTTTTTCTTCAATTTATATATTAGATATTTTCTAATATTAAACCCGTTGAGTATATAAGTATTGTGTCTCATAGGGGCTACAATTTTAAGATCTGATATAAAATATAGTAACGTTGATCACAAATCATGCACATGACATCCATTGATAGAATATATGCTGGTCACTAGTGACCGCTACGTAGTTGTCAGTATTTTTTTAGGGTTTTATTTTAATTATCTTTGGAATAATATATAATAAATGATTGAAATAGTCATATGTTCTCAAGAATAACACGAACCAATAATGTTTCTCGTGTTGCTTGAGAGAATTGTACAACGTAATAATTGTTATCGGATAAATATTTAAAATAAATTTATCGAAGATAGAAAATAATCGAGAAAAAATGTGTGAACGAATGTATGAGAAATAGGGTTCGATGTTGATTCGATACAGTCCTGGTTGATATTCCTAAAATGTGTCTCTCCAAATATACAAATACTTTTCTCGTGTTACACTTTCGTCCTTCCTATGTCTTATTTAATGCATAATTTTGTTTGAAAATCAAATAAACGAAATGATTCTTTATATATATATATATTTTATATATATACTCACGTATATTACTCTTAGCTTTTCAATTATGTCTTGGAAATAACCGATGAAAAAATAAAAGGAGAATACATACTGAAGTTCCATAGCATAGAAGGAATTCTACTCGGTCTGACCTACGAAAGAACAGTTTTTTAGGTTAGGTTACGGAATGAATAATAAAGAAAAAAGAATAAGAATAAGAATAAGAAGAAGAAGAAGAATAAGAGAAGAAAGGAAAAAGAAAGAGGATGGGAGAAAGAAGTCAAGATTATCTTTAAGATAAATCAAACACGCACACATATATACTTACATACCTACATATATGTAAACTAATATCAGAAAGTCGTTGGACCCGAGTGGTAGACTGAAGCATCGGGGAATGGGTGGTGAGACTGGTAATAAGGGAAAAGAGATGAATTTTCGAACGGGGAGGAGGGAGTGATGCGTGTGAGCTGGGAGATCATTTCTCTCTCTCTCTCTTTCTCTCTCAAAAAAGAGAAGAAAAAAAAGACTACATGTAGTAAATTTAAAATCGTATTGCTCGTGTGCATCGTAAGTATCGACAACTTCGTAGTGTTGATTTTTCGGTCGGTGTGCGCGCGCATCGTAAAAATTCACTCTCGTCACTTTTTATTTCTCAAAATGCGCGCCAAAAAAAAAGTATAATTTGAAAACTACATGTGTAGATGTATGCACACACGTAGCATGGGGTCACAGTTTCATAGTATAACTAAATAAGCAAGCAAGCAAGCAAGATTAAGTATGTTTATGTAGATGCATATACGTATATGTCGTAGATCGTCTGACGCTATAGGTCGGGAACGAGAGTGTGTGTGTGTGTGCGTGTAAAAACGAATGAGAGACCGAGGTAACACGAAGGAGACCGAAGATAAACGATATGTATGAGTGAGAGATTAGTCTGAGCGAGACCGGGAACGAGGTTAGTACGAGTGAGACCGAACTTACGCGAGTGAGAACGAGTAAGTGAAGTAGTATTATACTCGGAGGGGGAGGGAAATCGCATATGAGACGCACTTTTATGCACTACACTGTAAATCCGTGGTCGGTCGTCCTCGCGTTTGCGAGTCGGTCGACCGCGCACACTCTCACTTTCGCCGACGCCGATGACGGTTCGTGTCGTCGTCGGTTCGTCGCCACCCGCGTGTACGACGACAAACAACAAACAAAAAAATCAACCAACCAATAAACAAACGTGACTTTTATCGTATTAGAATTTAGACAAGCTTGAAGAGATCAAATACGGACAATTTTTCGGTAACGAGGAGGAGAAGGAGAAAGGGGGAGTGAGAATTATGCACGAGATTTGACATTTTCGGATTTTTTTCACATTTTCGGATATCTTTTGTATTTAATTATTAAGAAAAGATATATATATATATATATAAAAATATAATCTATTGTTTAATTGAGATTTGTAATCGAATGGGAAAATAAATTCAATGGGGTGGAATTAATCGAAATATACAAATCTTATCGAGATATATAAATAAGAAGGAAAAAGATAAAAAAGTAGAGCGCATTCGAGTTGGGTAGATAAAAAATAAGACATATATTATCTCGTTGATTCACATCTTAAATGAAAATTTCGGATATTTCATTGACTTTTGAGTTTCTGCAGAGGGGTAGGGGGTGGTTTCGCGCGAAACTGTCTTATTAGTTCGAAGTACTGCCGCGAGAGTTGCCGCGGCAGGTGGCACGCGCCAGCAGCGGCGTCGGCGGCGGCAGCAGCAGCGGTGGAGGTGGTGGAGGTGGTGGTGGAGGTGGCGGCGGCGGTGGTGGCGGGTGGCAAAGACATTGACCGTGACATTCGCGTCGGGAACGGGCCGCACGTAGTACGTACGAGAACGCGAGAGACGAGTGAGTTGCGAGATAAGACGATAAGCACAACAGTAGTACTCTAACAGTTACTGACAACAGCAGACAGTAGCTGCTGCAGTTACAGCGCAACATTAGTAGCAGTAGCAAACAGCAGAATATAATAGAGTATCGAGAACGAGTATAAAGATAGATAGATATATTATAAAAAGAAAGTATCTTCTCTTTCTTATAGAGATCATTGAGAAGACGAACGTGTGTTTAACGTGACGCCGTAGATCCACGCGCATAACTTTCGATCGGAATAATTCACGAATCTGCGATTTTAGTGATCGGTTAATTAGTGTGTTGTATTGTCATATTATCATGGGATAGTATTGTACGAGTGATATAATCACAAAGTGGACTTTATTATTGTTGGTTTTTGGTTTATAATATTTTACATGTGACGAATAATAGATCTAGGTGATGATATTATACGTGTTACCTAAAAAAATAAAGTGCATTGATTAAAGTTGGAATAAGAGGAAGTATAATAAGAAGAAGAAGAAGGAGGAGGAGGAGGAGGAGGAGGGAGGAGGAGGAGGAGAAAGCATTGGGTAAACTAAAAGGATTTTTCTCTTGGGACCCGCGTGGTGCGGGGTGGAAATATTTGAAGGTGGCTCACGCGGCAAGGGACAGGGCCGCCGAATTGCAGGCGGAAGTGAGGAGTGCCATCAGGGTGCTGCATGGCTGGTGTCCGAGGCCGCCGGGCCAGGGACAGGGCCAGGGACAGGGACAGGGCCAGGGACATGCACCCGGTGGCGGTGGTGGTGGCGGTGGCATTTCACGTTCCGATACGGTCCTGATGTCGCCCCAAACACAAATACGATCACCTAGGACTGCACCTGTTAACAATAACAACACCAACAACAACAACAATAGTCCTAACAATAATAGTAATAATAACGCGGGACCACCTCCACCACCACCACCGCCACCACCACCCTCAGGTACAGTCGTTGTCAGTTCGACTTCGAGTATGAGACCACCGCCACCACCACCACCTCCACCACCTCCTTCGAGAGCCAGGTCCTCCGATTCTAAAGGACACCACGAGGAACCAACCAGCTCAATACCTGATCTCGGTGAGTTTAATGATCATTTATTTTTTACATTCATTTTCATTTCTTTATTTGATATATTATATTATATTGATAAATATGTATCTTAGGGAAATTGGACATTAAAAGGAACTAGAACTAGAGATTATTAATTATTATTAATTAGTCTATATTATAATTATATATTATATATTGATATGTGTAATATATATACTAGAACTAGAACTAGTTCTTTTTAATGTCCAATCTCCCTAAGATACATATTTATTAATAATTATATTTTTAAACGAGAGAAATAATTAATTGAATTATATTATATAATTCTCTTCAGTATTTCATCTATATAAGTTTCTTCGTACAATTCAATTAGCTTAGTATTCAATTATATCAAAGTTTTCATGTTATAATGATGGATTTATATATGATATCAAAATTGTTTCATTCGAGAAACAAAATGATAGATAAAAATGATTATAAAATTATCTCTTGCATAGTTCTCTTTGTTCGTTAGTTAGATTCTTTTTCATGAGTTCCCGTTGCTCATACTTCGATCGCTTCTTCAACACAGGATCATGTTTCTTCTCGGAAGCGCGTGTTTCCGATCGTCTCGTACAATACATATACCTACACGTATAATAACGCATGACAATATGTGATCTAAGGATATATATATATATATATATATATATTTCCTCGATGGGTATATAAAATTAATAATAAATATAATTTATTCATATTATTCTATTGTAATATAAGAAATTCCTTACTCTCGTATCGTGTTATTATTATATTATTCGTATAATAACTAATACAATTCACAATCATCACACAATTCAATTCTAATCTAATAAATATCTAGAAAAGAAAATTTCTCTTTGAGATGTTATTGTTTCTTATTGTTAAAATGTAATTCGTTTCATTCATTCATCGAGGGACAATAAAACAAACAAATTATTTAGATTCTGGATGTTGTCTCTTTTTTTTTCTTCTTTTTTTTTTTGTTTCTTTTTTTTTTCGTTACTACAATAACTCTTATCTGGGCCAGAGTGTGTGTGTGTCTGTGTGTGTTGTGTTAAGCTAAGCTTGCGTCGAGAATTTTTTATTATTTTTTTCTTCTTCTTGTTTTCTTTCTCTTCTCTTCGTCGTATTTCTTTTTTTCACTCGAAATTTTCATACGTTACTTTGTTTCGTAAACGTTCGAACGTGAGTTTCAATGTAAAATACTTGACACGCGAAGTTGTAAGGTCAAAATTTACAATTAAATGAGAAGGATGAGAACGAGTAATGGGGTGGTGGTGGGGGCACA